ATAAACGTGAAGCGGTTGCGGAACCACAACATTATAAATGAGCGTCCATAACCTAAGGTGGGGTGTAGACCTTTCAACCTAAACTGGGGTGTACGATAAAATTTTATGAATTTCATTGGTCAAGTTTCGTTTTGTGTTTTATCTTAGAAAAATTTTCGTGATGTTTTTCGCGCGAATCTTATATAAATAAACTATAGTGTTTTTAGAAAAATAGCAAAGAAATATTTATCTAAAATAACTTTCATAATTCTTGCAATTTTTATTTCATTTATAAAATTTGTTTTAAATATATTGTTTATTATTTTTTTTTAAAAAAAAAAAGATAAATAGACCATATTTTTGAACTAGATATACAAAATTTATATATTTTATGTCTTTTACTAATAAAACATGACTAAAGAATTTATGTAAATTTGGGACCTTTAAGCTTAACACTAATAATATATTTACTTTTTTATCCTAAGTTTTCAATAAAAAATATTTCAGTATATTTTATATTTAAAAATTACTTCAACCGTAAAATAAAATAAAAATAAAATAATAAATTAAAAAATTAAAAAAGAAAGTGACGTACCTTTCAAGACGAAATTAAACCCAAATGCGTACAGAGCGGAACTAGAATATATGAATCGAAAAAAATAATAATCAACTTATTATATATACCAAATCTTATCATACATCCCAGTTTAGGTTAAATGTCTACACCCCACCTTATGTTAAGAAGCGGATGCAGAACTACAACACTATAAACACGATGCGGATGAAGATTAAACGGAAATTTGAGAATGTCAAACGTTAAGCAAACCAATAAAATTAAGTTTAGAGGAAATTATTAGGGTAAAGAGAGAGAGAATAAAAATTTTAATTGTATATAGTTTAAACAAATATAATTACTGGTTATTGAGTAAATTCACTTTAAAGTTTTCCAAATAATTTTGCTCACCACTGTACGTTTCGTTAAAGAATAATTAAAAAAGGAATAAAATCCCACCGCCCAAATTTTGTGGTTTTTATTTTTTCACGTTCTGTTAATAAAATTATACAGTATAATCATGTTAAAATGGTTTTTTTTAATTGGCCAACAGTTTCTTCATAGTTCCCATTGTTAGCATTAGCGAGCGAATAAAATATTTTTTTTATATTAACAATCATGAAAATACTTTTTAATTAATACGCTAGAAACTGAACTATAATAAAATCTAGTGATCGTATAAAGTTAAATTCCACTTAAATACTGCACTTCTTTGACTCGCCGAGTTATTTTTTCTAACCAACTGATTTGATATTGATCATTGAAAAAATTTTTAATATTTAAAATTCAAAAACGTACGAGAGCGATAACACGTGACACGCTCACGTGACGATTCCCAAAAATTTTGTTGAAAATTTCCATGTTATTGAAATCAAAAAAAATTTATTTCCATTTTTTTATTCGTAATTAATCAGATAACGTATAATCATATATGAAACTTTAATTTTGAAATTTTGAAAAGTTAGAAATATCCCATTGATAACCTTGTAATGAGAAAATGATTATGCCTACATTACTTTGACAGTGCATAGTCGCTTGATTCTATTTGACCTCGATTATATACAATGTGATTATTTTTGATCATGTGATCAACACAGCCAGTATTTTCTTCGCCAATTATATTTACCTGAAGTGTGACTGCCAAGTGCAAGATTGTAGAAATATACTTGCAACGCATAGCCTCATTACTATCTACAACTTGCCCCATGCTTTCTTATCCTGTGAAGAATACAATATTAATGCAGAGCTTAAATTTTATCAATTAGTGAGAAAATTGAAGAGTTCGGTGCATTCGATTAGAATATACAAACCTCCATTACTTATTTGAAAAATGTTAGTGATATCCTCACTTACTATTCCATATTTCGCCACCACTTCACTCATGGATAATTTAAGCCATTTTCCACTAATAAAAAACCATTAATATGATGCAATTAATTACGACTTGGAATAAAAAACTTAATTTGATAAATTATGAAAGAATAAAAATTTTATTAGTTTAATAAAACCTTGTCAGAAAAATTGCTTTAGATATTGGTGATCCCCATATTTTACAACCTCTATTCCTCTAAAGAAATCTGTGAAGCTGGTAATTTTCTTATTATTATATAGAAAAGGACCAATTATCATGAAAATCAGGAAAACTTGTCCAAATGTTTTGATTTCTACATAATTTATTCCTGAATTCTTGGCAACTTTTTTAGATGGTCGTTTAGTAAAAATTCCGATGCTCTTGGAAATCAGTCTGGTATGGCTATTACTAAACGAATGTAACCAAAATATGAATTATCTGTTATATTTATAAGAAATTTTTCATATTTTTTTATGAAATTCATTTAATGAATAAGACGAGAGATTTTTTTCAAATCGTCTGAAGAAATTCGTAAAGACTGTGAAGTACGCGACTGATCAGCCGACCAGTGAGCTGGATCGAGTCTTTGCAAAATTCCAACTCATTCTGAAAGTTTTTTACTTAAATATATTCACGTTATTGATAAATTAGACTTACTATATAATACCCAATTTCCATCCAATTGCACTACCAAAATGCTTTTATAAGATATCGGCCAAATTTTAGGCGAAGCCAAAATTGAAATTAGTCTACCAGTTTAGGCCGTTTGTTTAAGCGGGCGTTAGGCAGCAGCACTCACTCCTGAGGTCAGAAATGATGCCATGTCTTAATCATATACTTGGATTTGGTGGAAAAAACATGATGTTACCGGAAAATCATTAAGAACGATATAATTATGTATAAATAATCGTTTTTATCCAAGTTCACAAAATATATAGTTCTACTTGAAATCGTCAGTCATTTAAAAGAATGTTTCTTTCCTCTCTAAGGATATAATGTATTAAAATACATCTCAATTGCCATTTCAGCGTTCGCGTAATATTGTTTTATCATTTAGGGTAGTCCACTTAAGTAGCTTTTTGATACTACAACATATTTCTAATACTACTCTTCCGTTCACATGCGGATTAATCGTTAAAGGCACTAAAATAAAGATGTTATCGCGGTCCTATTGGTCCTGCCCGGTCCTTTGCTGGTCTTTGGAATATTTGAAAAAGTAGCAACAACTACGCCTTAAAATTTTGTGGCACAATAGGATAGATTGAGGGCAAAAAACGATAAAATTTGGTCTTAATCAAGAAGAATCTAAGGAAAAAAACATTTTTTTACCCGGTCTTTTAACATTTTATCCGATATTGGTCTTAGAAAAAGTAGGACTGGGCCCAAATTTTGCAACTTGACGGTCTTTGGTCTACTATGACACAAAATTCTAAAGGTACAAACTTTGTTACTTTTCCAAAGACCGGCCAGGATAAATAAGACCGAAAAACTGGCAATACAGTACATAAATGATTATATAAATATCGATACTTGAAAAGTTTCTACGTCCTTCCTATATACACTAGCAAAACTAACAGGATGCATTAAGTAGTGGACATCCCAATTTTTTTGTAAAATAATAATTAAATCTCACAGTTCTATGTGACCAACCGTTAAAAAAAAGCATGTTATAAAAAAAATTATTGTGAAATTGAACCCAAAAACATACATAATATAATTATTTCCTGGCGGGCATACCTCAAGTCACGTGGTCGAGAATATTTTGGACGTCACGAGTTCTGATCAAGTGTCCTTAAAATAGACCAGAGGTTCAGGTTCTTATCCTAGACCGCAACTGTATTAATCACGTGACGATCACTCTGTAAAAAACTTATTTATATAGGGTTTAGGATAAAGAAATTTGCCCAAAGATTACACGATTTAATTGTACTATATATTATAAAATTTTCTTTTTTATTTCGAACAAAGAAAACACATAACGAAGGGCAACCCTTGTCGAGCAGTTATTATTAGGACAGTTAATTCATGGTTTAAAATACTTTGTATTCTTTCTCCTCCATGTAATTACCATAATGACCAAATATATATATTAATAATAACAATTATTAATAAATGTAACAATTTTTTTAGGACGATCAGACTAAATTGGTTCTTAACAATTTAAGACAATAAAATATAAAGATGCATTTTACCTTGGTATAACATCATTATCGTTATTTAATCAATCCATTTAATCCATTATCGTTAGAATATAATTACGATTGAAAGAAAGAACTGGTATTTAGGACACCTTATAATATTATAATAATTGTAATATATACGCTATAAAAGATTTAAAAAAAGATTTACTAATTGCAGTTTCATTTCGGTTAATTAATAATAATTTAATTTTTTTTTTTTTTT